CTATCTATGGATCTAAATGTTGGCTTCTCCTCGGTCTTACCCAGGGCTCGTTCTGTACATCCCAAATATGGAGTTCATATATTGAAACTTGGGGAAACTAGGGGCATGGTGGTCCATCTACGTCTCCGATTCCAGTTTTTCCTAGGGTGTACCAATATTACCCCAAAGAGGGGCATTGGTAGGATTCTAACAGTCCCAAGCAAGAACATGAAAAACAAAAATGAAGAACACGAAGAACAATGATAGAAAAATGCAAGGAGGGGCAGAAAAACTTACGGGTAATCGACGCTTGGGTAAGACCAGTTGACCTCGGGCTCGTCTACTGCTTCTGAGAGATCAGAGATGGTCAAAAATAATTTGAAGAATGGTGATGGCGATTTGGAGGTTAGGGTTTAGCTTTGGAGAGAAGATGAACAGTAATGTTCATGTGGCCCCTCACACGTGCATAAAAAGAGTGGAGGAACCCAAAGGGCAGCAACCGTTTGAATTTTGCACGTGAGGAAGATAGCTGTGGGGCTGCACGGGTCCAATGATGTAAGGCTACGTGGCATCAAAGAGATGGCTCTGTCAGTACGGCTGTACGATCGATGACAAGACTGCTGGCGCAATCCCCGATGACCAACCAATTCGGATAGCCTGGTCAGAATGATAGTCCCAAATCACGCTTAGCTCGGATGGGATTAAGGAGCAATTGAGAGGGAGATTTGCGCTGGGCTATGGCGCTGAACCGAATCGGCACGCCTTCTCGGGCTATCACGTGTGGCCGAGCTATGTCGCTGACTAGAGTTCGAAGACATGCATATGCCCAACTGAGCTGTGACTCGGCTAGGTATCCGGTTGGATCCGCAATGGTGCGTTTGAACCGAGCCAAGCACAGCCCGGAATGAATTTAGACCGGGACGAAGGCCGGCACGCCTCACAGACAGTCAGTTCGGATGGACCGACTTCTTACAGCTCGGCTGTACCGGTCATGGTGGTGTTTCTTCCCAAGGGATAGGTCGGTCATGATATCCCAGTTGAGTGTGCCACTTGGACCAATGGTGTGATGGAGGGGAAATCCACTCCTAGCACGCGTCAATACCGTTTGGCAGATCCACACATGTTGTTTGGAGGTTTTGGCCTTTACACGCGTAAGCAAGATAGAGGGGAGTACTACCACCTATCCAGGGAAGGACAACAGAGGTAGTGCATCCACAATCTCTGAGGCTGCATGGCCAGCCTAGAAAAAGGAGGCATGGGGGACGTTAGAGGTAAGCAATCCAAGAAATTCTAAATTCTCTCTCTAAGAGTACACTTTTCTTCTTCAAGTGTGCAGACTTAAGCGCCGAAGGGTTTATCCGGCAACACACCGCCGGGCAGCTCACCGTCCTTTTGTTTTCAAGCCAGGCGACGTTACGTAAAGCTTGAGTTCAAGGAGTACGGAGAACAAAGGATATTTCACCCTCGTACAATCATGTTGAGCATGGAGCTGTCTATGGGTTGTGCTCATGTATGTAATTAATAATAGGGTCCAACTTGTCTCAAGTTGAGATCAAGACTGGACTCGTCCAGTCCGGCCCAGGGGGCCCATTTTTTGGGCCCGTTTTGATAATCTGAACCGTTTATGTGTAGAAATCGTCGAGTACTATATGCCTGTAAAAAATCACGTTGATCGGATATCAATAGCTATGTGATCAAATCAGTTTTGTATAAAAAAAAAATGGACGATGAAAAAATTAACAGTTGATAAAAAACTGTTTTGTTCACATAGCTATCGATATCCGATCAACGTGATTTTTTACAGGCATATAGTACTCAACGAGTTCTACACATTGAACAGTTCGGATTATCAAAACGAGACCCGTGGTGGGTCCTCACGAGCCCAACAGCACGGTCCAGTCCGATCTTGGACTGGACTAAAGCCACTGCCTTAATAATAACATTGTATTTGTCCTGGCTCTAATTTATGTGCAACAGGTTTCTTTTTTCTTTATTACTCCCTCTGTCCCAAAATATTCAGTGTGTTTGGTTTCAATTTTCTGGAAATTGAGTTTTTTGTTTTTCATGTTTTTTTTTTTGTTTTTAGTGAATATTTTTAAAATTTTAAGCAATTTTTTTGCTTTTTTAGATGTACCTTTAAAAAATTAATAAATACACAAAAATATGAAAAATATACTGAATTTTCATTTTTATTTTTTTATTTTTTTTATGTTTTTGGTATTTAGTAAATTTTTTAAAGATATTATTCACAAAAATTATACTTTTTAAGTATATTTATGTTAGGTGTGTCTAAAAATTAAAAAATTTGCTTAAAATATTAAAAAAAATTAGTGAAACAAAAAAATACAGAAGTAAAAAAATAAAATTTTTTGAAAAGTGAATTTTGAAAACCAAAACCAACCAGATTGCCCTTATTCCATTTTTCACTATCCCAAAATAGTCCCTTTTCAAAAATTAAGGACTAAAATAATATAAATCTCCTATTTTGCCCTTTTTTAAAACTCATTAACAACACAAAAAATACAATTATGACAATTGATATTTTCAAAAAAATGTACTGTCAAATGGTAATTTTGAAAAATTAATATTTTTAAAATGCAATAATTGTATTACCAAAAAAAGGTTAAATTCTCTCAAAAGGACTACATGTAAAAATACTTTTAGTTCTCTTCTGAGTAGACTACATGAGTATATGCGTGCATAGTATTCATAATTAGAATTGATGTGATTTCGTTTCCTACTCCGTAATACACTTGCTATGGAAGAGGATGAAGTCCTTGAAATGCATGTTTGGCTATAATTAGAATTTATTAAAAGCAGCATCATGCGGTCATACAAATCCATTAATTAGATGTTCTCTTCTCCCAAACCATTGCCACTTACTTTGACTATGATGATTACTATAGGTATCCATTCGGTTAACGAGCTACTACAACAGTGAGTGGTGTTTGTATAATGCAAATTCTCTAAAATTGTAATGATTTGGAGTGCCAAGCACTTTGTTCTTCATATCTTCAAATATAGACCAACAAGCAATCATAGTTTGCATTGACTTTCTCTATTTCAGAAAATTTACACATGTATGTAGATGTTTCATACTTGGCAACCTCTGATGATTTTGTGCATGACTTGATTCCAAATTTCTTGTTCGTATAATTAGAGTTATAAATTTTCCTTTTATGATTATGCATAAATTTGTTTAATTATTTGATTCAAGAACAAATAAAGACCATGTATTTGGTTTTGTTGTATATTAATTCAAATCTTTTAATAGTTGTTGAAGCTCTTTGAGTACATTTGTTAACCTTAAATCTTTGGATAATTTTTTTTGTGTGTGTATAAATTATCACTTTTGGCACCTACAATTGTGCAATGCAAGATGGGTCAATAAAAGTTGTATCTGAATGTTTCAGATTAGAAAAAGTGACCTCTCTTGCTGGTAGGCTCCATTGAGCCTAACTTCTTCTCATAAATTTCTTTGCAATCAAAATTATAGTCTTAGTTTCTAATTAACTTCCTCATATTTTGTTTCTTTCACTACAAGAAAAAAGACATACAGCGACGTTTTTTTCATGACGTTTTTCAAAAGCGTTGTCAAATCTGTCCAGATTTTTCAAATTCTAAAAGAATTAAACTAAACCATCTTGTTTTGTGTGCCAATTATTTCTTTTAAACAAGGCTATGGTATTCGTTTATCCTGATTGAACAGAGGCGTGACTTTAGGAAGAGAGAGAAATCGAGGCGTTGGATCTTCGATCTCCATCAATTCTTCGACTGTTTGATCCGAAAAATCTTGTTCTACTCTTGATTTGAGTGTATATCTTCCTGGTTGTTCGAATCCCTATGATCTAAATCAATCTAGGGCTCAAGGTTAGAGTTTTCTGGAGCGTATATCTTCCAGATTGTTTGAATCCCTATGATCTAAATCGATATAGGGCTCAAGGTTATAGTTTTCTGATATAGATTTGCTGCATTCACACGAGATCTATAAAATTTCATGGCTAAAACTAACGATTTGGAATTATTTTCTCTTGATTTAGTTGATTTCCAGCTTTTTCTGCTTTTGTTTTGTGTTTTCTCCTTTCGTTTTTGTTCCTTTATTCTTTCTAGTCCTTGTGTGAAAAACTCTTCTCTTTCATCAGATTGAGCAGCAGCAATGGTGAATCGATTTATCTAGGGCTTCGAGTGCGGTGTTAGTGTCTCTGATCATGTACGGGACAAGCAAGTGGCGTTGGATGTGGATCGTTGGAAACAGTGAGTAGAAGCTCAACGATGAAGAGATGCAGATCTGCTCTCTCTTCGATCAGATCTGTTCTCTCTCTCTTGTCCATTATTTTGCCTTTTTTTGGAATCTCATTTTGGCATTTCTTGCTTGTAAGAGAGTGTTCATCACTTCTCCAACATCAGTAATCTATTTTTATATGCTGAAAATGTCAATTTAACTTTGAACAACTGTCACTTTGGAAAATTATCTTCACTAGTTCCGATATGGTCAAGGTAGTCGTTTACTATCTTCATTACTTTGGAAAATTATTAGTCAACAAATTCATGCTCTTTGCTAAGCATGAATATGTTTAAAATATTTTGTTTTCAGAATTTTATATTCATATGAGTCTGAAATATCAAAACTATTATTTTTGGTGATACTGTGATACACAATCTAAGTAAGTATCTAACTGTTAGTATCTGACTTTAAATTTCCAGATTTTTTTTTATTGTTACTTCACTGGCATTTGTGTTAATGTTGAATGTATTCCCTATATGGACACATTGCAGGGGAAATCCAAAGTTCAATTTTCACAACTACAGAATTTGGTCATTTCTTGGCCTTTTGATGACAACTTACACTGCATGGTACTTAACCATTGCTTCCTTTCTCCATGGATAGGTATAGATATTTATTTTTTTTTAATAATTTCTCAATCATTTTTTTCCGGTCTTTAAGCATGATTTAATTAATATAAACTTGCACAATAAAAGTAAAATTTTGGCTTGATTAGGTTTTAATATTGCATTACTATATAACTTTGTTTGTTTTGGCATGCTAAGGTTGAGGGAGTGAAGCACTCAGGACCAACCACAATGGTTCTCTACTTCACTGGGGCTACAAACATTCTTTACACCTTTGGGGGCCATGCTGTGACAGTGTGAGAATTTAATCATTAATTAGTCAAGTTGATTCATATTATATATATATGTATATATTCATGCAATCTAGATGCTTTATTGCATGTTTGGATGGAGACATATATCACTGGATGGAAACCCCTTTCTCAGAGATGGGAACATGTTTCCTGGAAAACTGGTGCCCCACTTCTTTTTATAAACTTTGTATAGGTTTAATTATGATAACATTATCTTAACCATCACTAAATATTACTTTATCTCTTTTAATTTCAAAATTGCATGTTTAAAAAATTCTATGTGCATAGAAATTGATTACAGAATTAGTCACAACTCATTTATATGAGGTGAATTTTCCACCTATGTGAGAAAGTTGTATCTGATTATATAATTAGATTGTGTTGATGCAAAACTCATGATTTGTATATCAAATAAACTCGGTTTGGGGATGGTTTGAATTTTTTTAGGGAGATAATGCATGCAATGTGGAAGCCACAGAAGTTCAAGCTAATATACTTGATAGCAACACTCTATGTGCTCACACTAACCCTACCATCAGCAAGTGCCGTTTACTGGGCTTTTGGGGACTTATTGCTTAACCATTCCAATGCTTTGTCTTTGCTCCCAAGGACTGGTTTCAGAGACACTGCTGTCATCCTCATGCTCATTCATCAGGTCAATTTACCTTCCAATTTAGTTATATATATTATTTTCATTAATATAACATTCAATTCATGAGTTTGCTTTAACATTTTTGGTCGAATTAAAATGTTGACTATTACAATCAAAATAGAGGGTCAAATTGAATTTTTTTAAGGAAAAAAATTATATACCCTGAAAATAAAGTGTGTGATATAAATTTAAATTTAATGTGATATAAAATAAATTTGGTCTAATCATTTTAATTTTGGAATAAATTTTTTAAATATTTTTTGTGGGCGCGTGGTATTATGGGAAAGTTTGCCCACCAATAATAATAACAATAATAAAATAAATAAATAAATGTGTCCAATTCAAATCAATGGTATACATTTAATTTTATTGTTGTGGGACCAAGCACACCATAAATGAATCTTGACCTTTAATTATAAATTTTGAACATTTTTCTCGGTTTTTTTTTTTTGAGTTTGTAGAACTGCTCCGGTATTATTGTGCATGTAAAGTACAAGGGTTCTAACTGTAATTTAATCATTAAAAAATGGGTATTTTGTGCAATTTCAAAATGAACTAATTAAATGAAACATTTTGTATTGGGTTGGTGCAGTTCATAACATTTGGATTTGCATGCACACCATTGTATTTTGTGTGGGAGAAGTTCATAGGAATGCATGAGTGCAAGAGTATGTGCAAGAGGGCTCTTGCTAGGCTTCCTGTGGTCATCCCTATTTGGTTCCTTGCTATAATCTTCCCTTTCTTTGGTCCTATCAACTCCACTGTTGGATCTCTTCTCGTCAGCTTCACTGTCTACATCATTCCTACTTTGGCTCACATGATCACCTTTGCTTCTCCTTCTGCTAGAGAGGTACTCAATTTCAGAATCTATCTTATTCTCCCTGTTTCTTTGATTCGTTTTCATAATTTATTTTTAAAATTTAGTAACTAGTTTAATGAAAATAAGTACCAAAAATATATTTTTTCAAATTTTAAAAAATTATTTCGCTTCAGAAAAAAGAAATCATATGGAAATTGACTAGTGTTTTTCATTTTTTCACCAAACTAGTTTTCAGTTTTTTTATTTATTATTATTTTAAAGCAAACATATTTTGAAAACAAATAAAGTGCCCACTAAATAATATTTAATTACAAAAATATTACTGTTATATTATTCTGATGACAAATTATGTATAAAAAGAATAGTATTTTGCCTTCAAAGAATAACCCCATGTAGTTATCCTTGAGACTTATTTGAGTAATTTGAGTTGTTTTTCACACTAGTGAAAAAGTAGCTTATTGAAAAATAATTAATCAATAGTTATATATAAAATGCTACTAACAAACAAATAAATTACAAAATAGAGCACAGACACTCACATGCATATATGTCTCGCACAGTATAAGACCTAGAGGCACGTGAGTATTTGTATCTCATTTTGTGGTTTCTTTTTGTATTAGTAGCTCTGTTGCGTTGCATAATTATGGATGTGTTTGCTAAAGAACTCCATCAATTATTTACTATTTTATTTGTTTATTTCATTTATTACAATTTGATTCTATAATTTATTTATATATTTGTTTAAATTTGGTGTTTCACAGAATGCAGTAGAGAGACCACCATCATTCCTAGGAGGTTGGGCAGGCTCATACTGTGTGAACATCTTTGTGGTTGTTTGGGTTTTGATTGTAGGATTTGGGTTTGGAGGATGGGCAAGCATGCTCAACTTCATTCGTCAAATTGACAATTTTGGCCTCTTCACTAAGTGCTATCAGTGCCCTCACAAGCCTTGACAAGTCTTCCTCCCTATCTACCATTACCAACATCAAATTCAAGAATTTGTAATACATATGGAAGTGTGTAAAGAGATTGCCTTTTGTAACCTTTTTCTTTTTTTCCCTTGAAAGTTGTGTGTCAATCTTCTTTTTTCCCTATATGATTTTAATTTCTAATCAAGCAAGAGAAATGTTTTCTGTTATGTTGTCAATTAGGAGGAAGGCATTGACTAATTTCTATTATGTCCTCAAACTTTTCTGTTTCTTTGTTTCCAGGAGTACGACGAGTTAGATTATGTCTCGAGATTTTTGTGCATCGAGCATGATTCAATAATTGTGATAGTTTTGGGACATGGGACAAAAGAATTTGGGAACGGAAAATTCGTAACCCATTATCTATGCCAATCAACTGATCACAAACATAATCTACAAATTTAGGCCACCCTATCTAGTGAGGTTGAACTTTGACTTAAAACTTTTATTTTTATTTTTATTTTTATGTCACCTCATTAATTAGGTGTGTATGACTATTCCAGACAATTTGATGGAATTTGAAATACTAACACATTAGGTTTATGCAGAGGTCTCCATTTGCACCAGCTCTGGCCGAGGCACTTAGGGACAGGGTGTTTGGTGTGGATGATTCTGAGAGACAATTGCATATAATTTACCTTGCCAATGACATTCTATTTGACAGGTACACTTCCAGTGCTATGCCAAATCTTAGTTCAACATAAATTTGAGTGCTGTTGAAATGAATTTGGTTTTGGCTGCTTTTCTGTGTGTGAATACCTATTGCTTTATTTTCTTCTTCTTTATTACATCTATTGCAGGATTCTTATTCACTGATATTTTCTGCCTCTTAAATGCTTCCACTGCTTCATATCTCGTGGTGTCCACTGGCTACTCGAGTACATTATTATGTGTCCTTCCAAATTTGTCATATAAAAAATAATAATAAAATTTGATTTTCCTTCCAGATAGAAATTTCTTTTTAAGTTTGTTCAACTTGATACAATGATATTACACTGGTGTTTTAATGAATATGTGGTATTGATCTATCCTAGTAATTATATTTTGGCAAGATAGCAATGTTCTTCGATTTTGATGATATAGTAAGGGGAATTAAAATCGAGCTATTGTGATGCGAACGCAGGAAATTATTTCTTTCTTGAATGCTTCTTAATTGTTTAATCTTTTGGCTATCAATGTGTGCATTGATGCTACATATGTTTATCTTTGGGTCATTCTTGAAACATGTAGCTTGTAGCATAGGATCAACCCTCATGAGCTTGATAACGAGGCACTTGCATTTAAGCCTGTTTTAGGTTCCATGCTTGCCAGGATTTACCACAACCCTCAAAACAAGGAGGAAAATCAATCACGATTGCAGAAAATCTTACAATTCTGGGCTTCCAAGGAAGTCTATGATCATGTCACTATTCATGCGCTTGAGAATGAGATGATTGGTGGACCACCAACGAATTTATTTCCAATATTTGGTGGTTTCTACCATCAGATATTTGTTTCTTCTTTTTTTCAAGTTACTATTATAATAAGCTTTCATTCACTGTTTGTTTACTTGTTCAGGAAGCGGAAAAACTTACACTATGAAGCCATTGCCCCTTAAGGCCTCTCGAGATATCTTGAAGCTGATGCACCATACTTACTGGAACCAGGGCTTTCAGTTGTTTTTCAGCTTCTTTGAGATATATATATGGAGGAAAACTTTTTGATCTCCTCAGTGATAGGAAGTAGGTGCTGTTATCATATCTTGCTTTGGAATTACCATTTGTGGTCTTTTAATTTCTCTCTACTTATGCAGGAAACTTTGCATGAGAGAGGATGGTAAACAGAAAGTTTGCATTGTTGGTTTGCAATAGTGCAAAGTGTCAGATGTGGAGACAATCCAGGAGCTCATAGAGAAGGGAAATGCTACAAGAAGTGCAGGCACAACCGGTGCAAATAAGGAATCATCACGTTCACATGCCATTCTTTAGCTTGCTATTCAAAGGTCAGCTGATGGCAGTGAATCTAAGCCTCCGAGAGTTGTTGGCAAGCTCTCCTTCATAGATCTTGCTGGAAGTGAATGAGGTGCAGATACTACTAAAGGTTCAATCTTTTGACTCTTTTGGCTTATCTTCAGATATTTATTCATCAATGAAGGTTCAATTTGTCGACTCCTATGGCCTGCAGATCCATGATTTTGGCATACTTCTTTCATATTTGTAGGAGATGAACCTGTTGGTTGAGGCAGATCAACTAGGAAATCAGTTGGATGATTATATATCTAGATTGAATGCAATCCTGTCCCAGAAGGCTGCTGGCATTCTACAACTACAAAACCGTCTGACGTCTAAAGGAGCATAATGTTCTAGTGTCTTCTTCTGATTGCTAGACCAGTATATGTAATCGTTTTCTATGTTGTAAATTCCATTCTTTTTTCAGTGCTCCAAATACTGTGACTAATATAATTAAAATAATATTAAGATTTTTTTTTTTGCACAATGATTGTGGACTATCATTTGATATGATTTTATTATTTGAGTGGGAGTTATTATTTTATATTAGTGTTATTCAGTTTTATTAGAGGTATTTTTTTTAGTTCATTCGCATAAAATTAGCACAATTTCAAAAAAAAAAAAAAAGGATACCACGGCGTTTTAAGAAACGCCACCTAAACCTATAAATTTAACGGTCAGATTTTTCAAAAAAATATAACGGCGTTTCAAAAATGTCGCTAAATATCATAGTGACGTCATAGTATGTTAGATAAGACATTTGGCGGCGTTTTTAAAAACGCCGCCTATACTAATATAACGACGTTTTTCAAACGTCGTAAAGTTATAGCGCCGGCCGCGTCATCGGCGTTTGATACTAAACGTCACAAAAAGAATTGGCGACGTTTTTAATACTTATAGCGGCGTTTAAGTGAATTTTCCTGCAGTGTTTTTTCGTCATTTTTTTTTAATTGATAGTATTGAAATTTATATAGGTATCTTTTTTCCGTTTTTTTTTTTTTTTACATGACATATGAATTGTTGCAAATTTAATAGTGAGAGTAGTGTGGGTTCGGGCCCCGTCAGTCCTAACCTTTCTATCTCTCTTATAGCAGTACTAGTCGTTTTGGAATAGGAAGGTATCATCACTCTTACATTCCTTTCTAGCTCTTATCTTCTTTACTTACTTCTTCATTCTATCTTCTTTGGCTTTATCTATCCTCTCCTAGCAGCTAGTATTCCTATCCTATCTATCCAATCTACCAGACAATCTTGTTTCTCAATTCTTTTGTCACATAATAATCCTATTGTCTTATCTGTTGCTCTGATTTGCCTAATGAGTGTAAGCTTTGTTGCCTGAACACAATTGGTGCTGACCACATTAGGTGCTGCCCTGGTAGCAAGAGAGGCCAGGCGGTGACAATTGAGAGGTTTTCAAAATCTTTCTGGGCGAGTCACCACTGTCTCTCTTCGATCGAGCCCCTTGTATGCCCTATTCATACCCCTCCGCAGAGGGAAGAAAAGACCGGTCCCTAATGAAAAAGAACAAGTTAGCAATCCAATGTGTTACCGGAGAGGGAACTATACGTTTGTGATGGTTTTCTAATTTGGTACAATATGAACTGCAGCAAATTTATTAGTGTCAGTTTTAAATTTGATTACTTGGGCTTGTTTGGTAACGTTTACGTTTTCAGTTTATATTTACAAAAATTCTATAAACTGGTTATTATTTATTTTTTGTTTATTTTTAAAAAAACATAAACTACAAACGCGTTTGGTTTAGACAAAATGTATAAAAAAATTTAAAAATATAAAAAAGAGTGAGAAATGGCAAGTGGTGACGAGATTTAGATAACACTTAAGGATACAAAATGTAATTTACTCTAAAAATGGAGCCTAATCTCTAAAACTTTGTTAAAAGAGTACATCTCAAAAAATGAAACAAACACATAGGTAAAAAATGTTACGAGACATTATGTAAAGATATATGCTCTAGTCAAATTTTAAATATTCTCTCATCTTTCACTGATGAACAATTTATTTATTCACTTTGAAATACAATATAACTATAATTTTACAAAAAACTCACATATGGTTGGGTTACATTTTAATTTAATAAGTACATTATTGTTTTTCTTTGGTAGGCTCATTATATTTCTATAATTATATTATCTTTTTATATGCAAGCTTATTTATTAAAACTCAATAAAATCACAATTAAAATAATAAATAAAGATTCTCTTAAATTGAGAGAAAGAATCACAAATAAATATAATGAAAATAAAACCTACACTTAAATGGAATAATTAGGATGCGTTTGGTAACGTTTACGTTTTCAGTTTATATTTATAAAACTTTTATAAATTGATTTTTGTTTATTTTTTGTTTATTTTTAGAAAAACATAAACTATAAACGCGTTTGGTAATTGAAAAAATGTTTAAAAAAATTTAAAAATATAAAAAAGAGTGAGAAATGACAAGTGGCGGCGGAAGACAGTGGTAGAAAGTGGTGATGGTGGGTGGTGGCAGGTGGGTGGTGGTGATGGGTGGGTGGTGAGTGGTGGTGGTAGTTGGTGGTGGGTGGTGGGTGGTGGTGGCGGAAAATAGTGGTGGAAAATGGTAGCGGGTGGTGGCTAGTGTTGGGTGGTAAAAAAAAAAAAACTCAAAACTCAAAACGTAAACTCATTTTTTGAGTTTACATTTTTTGGCCAAATTTTATAAACTGAGACCATTGATTTATAAATCAAAAATTTACCAAACAAGTTTTTATTTGAGTTTTTAAAATTTTTGTAAATATAAACTGAAAACTGAAAACTGAAAACGTAAGTGTTATCAAACGACACCTTAGTAATTTTTTATTTTTTATTTTTCATTTTTTCTTGATTTTTGTAATTCTTTATTTTTTCTTGATATTTGTAATTCTTATTCTTGTTTTACAAATTTTGTTTAGTATTTTCTTGATTATTTTGTAAATTTTCTTAAATAGTTTGGTATTCTTTTGATAAAGTACTTGATTTTTCTTTGTCTTTTGGTTTGTTTGTTAGGACCTTTTGAGAAAAGAATTTGTAACTTTTGGTTCCCAAATGCTTGAGATTAGTTAAAATGGACCTCACTTTGTCGTAGTCTCTATTGAGACTAAGTTTCTCTCTTAGATTTCCTTGCAATCAAAACTATAATCTTAGTTTCTAATTAAATTTCTCATATTTTGTTTCATATTTCAATATTTTTTTTGTTTTAATTGATAGTATTGAAATTTATATAGGTGCATTTCTTTCAATTTCTCTTTTTCCCTTATATGGCAGATGAAGTGTTGCAAATATATTAGTGATGGCTTTTAATTTGATTACTGGGTAATTGTGGAGATATATTTTCTGAGTACCAACACGTGGCCAAGGTGACGCCGACGTGTTGGCCGAGAAGCCACGTGTCCTGGTCGTAACGCCGAGGTGATTTCGGCTAGGCCGAGGTTATCTCCGAAGATATCGGAATCCGGGATAAACGGATAAGGGACATGAGTCCTAGAATGAGGAAGGACTTCAGCCTGGATAAGGATAAAACTCTTAGGGAGTTTATCTTTATCTATTAGAGAGTCCAAGATAAGCACCGAGCAGAAGTCCATTGAAGTTAGGCTTCTATTGGAACTAGGATTGTATTGGCTATAAAAGAGAGGCACCCCCATGGGTCTAAGGTATGCAATTTATATTCAGAACAGTGAGTTGAGCACTATTGATGATCTTTGAGAGATATTTGATTACTGACTTAATCATCGGAGTGCCCCCGGGTGGACGAACCACCGCTGGAATCTCTTCTTTCTATTGCAGGTCGTTCGGGCTTATCCTATTCTGCCAGTGCTCTCCAGTTGAATACTGAGTTGGCAGTGCGGTCAGAAATTCACTCACATAATTTGGCGCTGTCTGTGAGAAGAAAGAAGAATAGATGGCCAACGACGGACAGAAAGAGAAGATTGGGGATAACACTCCAACTGGGAGTGGGAGACCTACTGACCTTGATGTCGAAAAGGACAATTGTAATGAAGAAACTCGTGACCAAAATCACGGAGTGAAAGACGTCGGCTAGGAAGGTGATGTACCAAAGAAAATAGACCAAAGCGGGTACTATAACGAAGACAACCTCCAGGTATGGAAAGAAAGATGCCTACGGAGGGACGATGAGGTAAAGACCATGGCGAACAAATTGGCAGACCTACAAACAATGGTCAATTTCATGATGCAAAATAGCGTCATGCAGCCACCGTTCTCGCTGCAGGACACGCCGATTCTAGCGGCCAATGCCCAGAAGGGAGGGCAGAAAACAATCCCTGTAGCCCCAGTATGCCAGGAGCGAAAGACACTCTCACCGACCTTCATGGGAGGTCAGGCAAGGAGAGCCAAGAAGGGAAGAATCTCGAAGGACACATCGCACCAAGGAGGCAAACCCCAGAGAACATCGGCATGTTCAAAGGCAGGAGTTGTGCTTCGATGCGACCAATGGAGAAAGGTCAAAAAAGGCTCACAACGAAGCTGAAAGTAGTGCACCTAAAAGACTGAAATCAAGAGATAGCTGAGCTCCTGAGCGGACCAAAGGGGACTTGAGAGATTACCTTAAGAGGAAGCAAGAGCATGACGAGGTAAATTCCCCAGTTAAACCGAGAACACCATTCTCGGTAGAGTTAGACAAAGTTGAGGCCCCGAAGAGATTCAGTATATCGAGGTTCCAGATATGCGATGCTAAGTCAGACCCCAACTTTCACGTCGGTTTATACCTAAACTCGATGGCACTATACACTGGAAACGAACCATTGCTTTGCAAGGTGTTCCCCTCATCCTTCGAGGAAATTGCATCAGATTGGTTTCACAAGTTGCCCAAAGGAAGTGTGAAAACCTGGGAAGGCCTGGCCGAGATGTTCGTGGCCAGGTTCGTGACAAACAAACTACAGCCATTAAGGGTGGACGCCCTGATGGCTTTGAGAATTAGTGAGGATGAAGGCCTTAGGGCCTACGCAAAAAGGTATTATGAGGTGTTCAACCGAATACCCGAATGCAACCAAGAGGTGGCACTCGTGTCTTTCAAGAACGGCCTAAAAGATGATTGTGCACTACGAAAGTCATTGGCAAAGACATTGCCAAAAAGCATGAAAGAGCTCATAGCCAGAATTGAGAAATACGCCAGAGCCAAGGAAGACACGCCAGGGATTAAGGCGACCAAGCAAGAGAAAGAAAACGGCTCGCCGAAGCGAGGCCGAGGTAACAACGGACCTAACAAACAAGAGATAGGATTGAGAACTACTCAAGTAGTCACAACTGTGTTCCGATTCCCAATTCACAAAGTCCTGGATAAAATCCGAACCCAACCCTACTTCAGAGCACCAGCCAGGATACAAGGAGAGTTTATGGGAAGAAGCCTTAGAAAGCATTGTGCTTACCACAATGAAGATGGGCTTCTGACTCAGGGTTGTAGAGCCCTGAAGTCACACCTAGAAGACCTGGTAAGGCAAGGCCATTTGAGGGA